TATTATCTTTTAGCTTTTAACTTTAGTTTTTAGGTTTTTTTAGTTTAGTTTTAAATTAGTAAGTAGGAGGACGTCTCCTTTTATCGGGGAGTCAACCATTGACCTTGAAACTGGGGCGGCTGCATGAAGAGAGAAATGACTAAGCAATTCTACAGCCCTGCTTGTGGGAGAGGAATTGGGAAACGTACCAGAGATTCCGGGGATTTAGACGACACAGAGGAACTGAGATGTCTGCCTCTTGCTAAACAAACAAAAATTAGTGAATCTGAAAGTACAAAGGATATTTTCAATATTCCGGTTTCTAACTCTTTCACACTGCTAGCAGAGATGAATGACGAGGAAACCATTGCGAAAGAACCTTTTGATAACCTGCCTACTAAACCTTCGAGCAATAATAATACTGGCATCCACTTGAATGACTGCACTAGAGCCCGTGAAAGCTGCATTGATGAGATACTATTTGAACATTCGACTACTCTAGACTATATCTTTAAATACATAAAAGACATCCGAGGATCCTTGGAGAAGATTATCTCGCTTGTATCCCTAACAGGTAAAGACAGTTCCCCTGATGTACTACCGGAGATTAAGCCCTTACAAATGCCCAGAGCACCCGTTTTACCTCATACCTCCTGTATAATTCCTCAAGCTGCTGGCAATCAGAAAAGTGAGCAAAGTGAGCAAAATAAGAAGGAACAACACTCTGCACCTCCTCACAAACTGCTGCTGCAAGCTACCAAAATCTGCCTAACGGTTTGCCCCTTTAGAGGCAAGGTGATAAACTGGCATTATAAGAGTGATATAAGGAGACACTTAGCGGAGCTTCTGAGGGTAATCCCTAGCTCTGTTGACCTGAAGCATACAGATCATATTAGCAGCAGACCTTGGAGGCAGAGAGTGCTGCTCTCCTTTAAAACCAAAAAGCTCCCTGCACTTATTATGCCCTCAAGAAGCCTTCTAATTAACTATGGAATCCTTGCTACAAGAGTCGGAGTAGCCCCAATCCCATTCCTACTTGTGTGCAAGCAGGAGGGGGCACGGATCGCTCAGCTGGGAAGGGAGGCTTCCCGTTGCCTAACTGAGAGATCCCTGCCCTGCTCCTGCTTGCACACAAGTAGGAGTTGGGAGGCTGCTCCAAAGGGCAGCATGAAGCGTCCCTTCATAGCTCAGTTACTGGGGTCAGGGAAGGTGGAGGCAGCCCGGAAGCTGCATCTTCGAGCCCCTGCACCACCATCATATGGGGACTTCCGAGCAGCTCCTGAAGCCAGCCAGAGCCAACTGCTCCGGGCTGCTGAGACTGCTGCTGCTGCGTTTCCCGGGGACGTTAGATGAAATCCGGGGACATTCTGGGGATGGAATCTGCCCCGGGACATATTCCAAATCCCCGGGAAACGAGGACGTCTGGTAACCCTAGCTTAAAGTGGAGTCCTGATTATGGCCTTCCTGGGGCAAGGCAGCCTCCCATCTTGCCCATCAACTGAGGAGAGGTAAGAACCACTCAAGGAGGGGAGAGCATGAGGTTCAAGAGGTTTGAGCACAACGGAGTCACTCAGTCCCAGCAATGATGAGAAAGCACTGCTTTCAAATAGATTCAGATTTTAAATAGATTCAGATTTTATTTCAAGGTGCATCATGACAGCTGACAAACAAGACAAGACAAACAAAACAAAAGGGTTATTTAGGGTTGCAACCTGTGTTGTGCCTCCACAGAGTTTTACACATGCAGATAAACACCATTCTTTTCACGTCATTCTAACCACTCTAGCTAACCACAAGGCTCTTCATATTGATTACATAGGAAACATCCGCATAACCACTTCCTGTAGAAAAAGCAGGCAGGGAAAAAGCACTTCTCTCTCTTTTTTTCATAGAGTAAAAAAGCCCCGACTTCCCTTCCCCTCTTTCTCTCTTGCCTATGGCTCATGCTAGCCATAGCAAGCACTGCATAAGCAAATCAAAATGGTGTCTGCCTTGCCTCTGTCTGTTTTAAGAACAGACATCTCGTATCCTATGGAAGCCACCTCTCCTCCCCACGGCTGTTCTCTGAAGCAGACCCCACAGTCCCTTGAAACTTTCAAAAATGGAAGTTGAAAGGAGCAGCGTGAGGTGGCTTACAAAGGGCACCATTTGTCAGTGGCTGCCTGGTGCCTCTTGGGAAGTTTGCAAGGGATTCCCAAAGGCAGCTGCTTTTCTGTCCTCCTGATTGCAATACACGGGAAAACAGGAAGCTGACTTTTACAGAGCCAGGCAAATTGATCTGTCTACCTCAGTATTTTCCGCACTGACTGACAGCTGCACTCCAACATTTCAGCCAGACTTGAGGAAGGTGTGGAGCAACAGTGGTGTGGGTTGGAGAAGGGGAGAATGGCCTATGGAGAGCCCTGAGGGCTAGTCAGGCATGCCCCACAACTAGGGGAGCGGATGGCTCTGTGGTCTCAACCAGGGATGTCCAAGAGGTCGATCGCAATCTACCAGTGGATCATGGGGGTGTCCCAGGCTGTAGTTTTGTAAGTGATCTCCCTCTTGCTCTTAAGTGATTGCTACGTGCCCTGCCCCCACTTTGAGAGGTTTATTTCCTTTCCTGGGTGGCAGAGTTTGGGAAGGCAGGAGGTGAACTGACTGTTGAGCGATTGATTTAGCACACTCCTTCTCCTAAAACCAACCTGGCGAATCCTTTCCAAAAGAAGCTCAACAACTTTGGCTTCCCTCCCCCAAAATCATAACAACTTAACTACTGGCAATGACAATGGGTAGATCACAGCCTTTTTATACTTTGAGTAGATCGCAGTCCCTTGGGAGTTGGATGTGCCTGGTCTAAACCATTGAGCCTCTTGGACTTGCTGATCAGAAGGTCAGCAGTTCAAATCCCTGCGATGGAGTGAGCTCCTGTCGCTCCATCCCAGCTCCTGCCAACCTAGCAGTTTGAAAGCACACCAGCATGGGTAGATAAATAGGTACCTCTGCGGTGGGAAGGTAAATGGCATTTCCGTGCACTCTGGTTTCCGTCACGGTGTCCCACTGCACCAGAAGTGGTTTAGTCCTGCTGGCCACATGACCCAGAAAGCTGTCTATGGACAAACGCCGGCTCCCTTGGCCTGAAAGCGAGATGAGAACCACAACCCCATAGTCGCCTTTGATTGGACTTAACCGTCCAGGGGTCTTTTACCTTTTACCCCACAACTGACACATTTTAAGCTGGATATTGTGGATCACAGAAGCCAATCCCAGCTTCTGTTTTGATCCCGGAATATCCCATGAAGACTAGCACCTTGGCATGAGTCAGGAAGGCTGCATCTGACCCTGCGGATGAGCACCAGACCACCTTCTAGGATTGCTTTGGCAATCATCAAAGGGTCATCAAAGGGTCGTGCCAAAGCGCCTCTGGGAGGCCCTGCTGGCCGGGGTTGGGGAGGAGGCCATGGCCATGGAGGAGGAGGTTGCAGCCACCGAGGAGGAGGACAGCAAAGGTTTGAAGGTGGAGGGAGCAAGGAAGTGGGCAGGGAAGGGAGGGGTGGGTGTTGGTGGGCGTGAGCAATGGGCTGGTGAGATGGTGTTGGGTATTCCAATTTGCCCTCTTGAAATGTTGGAGTCCTGCTGGTTTCACATGATTCAAAATCACATTATAAGGGATTATTATTATGACCAGAATGTAATTGAAACTAATGAGATTTTGGAATGAAAAATAAAGAAAATCATCAAACCATCAAATCTAGCACGCGGGGGCCCACTTTATCTAAATTATACAATTTCACATCTGAACGATTAGTATTAATAATTGTATTATAAATTGGTATTGTTGTAATGAGGCTATTATTGGAGTGTAATTGAAAACTAATAGAATTTATTATTTAAAAAAAAACCATTCATCCTCTTCTGCTTCTTGAAGGCTTTGCCAACATCAGAAACTGCAGAAACTGGCTGCTGGAATGATCCCCAAAAGAGGCAAAAAGAATAATTATGCAAGATAGAATGAGCCTCATAGAAAGTGGAGAGAAGAAGTTTTTCTCCCTCTCTCATAACACCAGAACTCCACGGAAACATCCATGGAATCTGAACGTTGGAAAATTCAGGAGAAAACAAAGTTTGTCTTCATCCAGCGCATGGTTAAAGTATGGCGCTCTTTCGCCCAGGAGGCAGTGGTGATTCCCCACTTGGATGGCTTCAAAAGAGGGCGAGAAAGGTTCGTGGGGGAGAGGGCTATTGAGAGCTCCTAGCCATGAGGTCTGTGCTTTGCCTCCTTCTGAGTTTCTGGAAACTGCAGGCGGGCAGAGAGCTCTTGTGAGTTTCCCACAGGCATCTGGGTGGCCCCTGTGAGAACAGGGTGCTGGACTCCATATGCCCATGGCCTGATCCAGCCGGGCTATTCTGACGTTCTTATAGTCTTATGAAGCTCAGTTTAATAAACAGTCCTCATGCTGAACCAGAGGGGAATTCAGGGAAAAGGAGAGGCAGGGAAGGAAACCCCACCCCCCTGTTGGCTTCAAACCAACTACTGCAGTAACAATTGCAGGAAATCAGTTCCATTTCCAGAAATCCAGGAAATTTAGTAGCAACTGCTGACAATAGCTCTGTATAAGGAAATTTGGCACCACCTAAAAACATTAGTGAGAGCTGGACCATAAAGAAGGCTGTTTGCCGAAGAATTGATGCTTTTGAATTCTGGTGCTGGAGGAGACTCTTGAGAGTCCCATGGACTGCAGGAAGATCAAACCTCTCAATTCTGAAGGAAATCAGCCCTGAGTGCTCACTGGAAGGACAGATCGTGAAGATGAGGCTCCAATACTTTGGCCACCTCATGAGAAGAGAAGACTCCCTGGAAAAGACCCTGATGTTGGGAAAGATGGAGGGCACAAGGAGAAGGGGACAACAGAGGACAAGATGGTTGGACAGTGTTCTCGAAGCTACCAGCATGAGTTTGACCAAACTGCGGGAGGCAGTGGAAGACAGGAGTGCCTGGCGGGCTCTGGTCCAGGGGGTCACGAAGAGTCGGAAACAACTAAACGACTAAACAACAACAAAAGAAACATGGTTGCTTAGAAAGTTGAGGTACATAATTATAATCTGCTTTAATATTTTTACTTTTGTATATTTTAAATTAGGGTTGTATTTTTTCTGATTTTATTGTTTTATCTTTTTGTATACTGCTGTGAGGGTTTTACAATAAAGTGGTGTGTGAATCTTATGATTCCCAGGTTTGGGGAGGCAGAAACATGGACTCTCCTATGCATGAGTAGGTTAGGTTTGTCACTTTCAAAGAAATAGTGAATTCTTACTGCATGGTGCTACTTAGCCATTTTTTATGGAGCAGATTTTGGGCACCTAAACGCTACCCAACTTTTGTGATACCTTGCAATGGCTGCCTCCTGAACATTAAGATATTTCATTATTTTTAAAATCTCATTGTCTTTTGCATTCCTCCCTCAAGAGGCTCCATAAAATTATAGAAGCCAATGCTCTTTTCAACTTTCTGCTGGCATTTTCTTTTTGCTTCGTTCCCATAGCATTTTCTCTAAAGTACTGTAAGGTTGTCATTTGTTAGTCTCAAACTCAGCAATAGCCAAGTTGCCAAATGGCACCAGGACTTCAGCAGCTGTTTCTCCTTCTGCACATTGAGGGTGATCACATTCCCCACTGGGAGGTCCTGCCCTTTGTTTGTGGGGTTGATTTTAAATCATGCTAAAAATTATTTTGCACTTTGTGCCCAAGAATGCCTTCAGCCTCTAATAGGGTTGCACTGTTCTCTGAAGCAGGGGAGAAGACCCTGGGCAATTGAAACCATCTCTAGATCCAGGCTGGGGGTGACATTAAAGGCTGGGTGGGGCTGGAGCCAGAAACGGCTGACAAGGACTTCGCAGGTGAGAATGAGGAAGCGGGGGAGGGGGAGGAAGAGGAGGAGGGGGGGGGGAGAATATAAATAGCAGGAACCAATCACATTGAAAACTTGTTTTGCTTCTTGTGGGTTTGGTCAGCATCAGATACTTGTTCAAGCACTGCAGAATTTAGCTGCTAGATTGATTCTGCCAGAAGGTACAAACAAGAATTCTACAATGTATTGGGGGGGATATGGGGAGGGGAGGAAAGGGAGAGGGTGGGATGGGGAGGGAGATTGGGGAAAGCAGGAGGAGAGGAGGAAGGGGGAGAGGATTTTGGACTGAAGAAATAACATTTCTAAAATAATATAAGCAGTGCTCTTTTTCTTAAAAAATATTTAGGGGTTCTCTCATTTTGACTCAAGAAAATCACCAATTTATAGTTGAAATCAGGAAAAATATATACAGTAACTGGACAGGACAGAGAAGACTTATTCCCAAAGGTGCCTTTTTTTTTTTTGTTTGAAAAAAGGAAACCCAGAGGGGAAAACACAAATCCTCACACCTAAACTTGTGGTTCTGACAAAAAAGAAAAAAAGGAAGAAAAAGGAATGAACTGATTATTAAGGACCACAGAAATTATTTTTTAAAAAATATATCCAGAAAAGAAGGGGAATTTAGGTGCTTCCAAAAGCCTTCCTGCATCCAAAAATAAATGGTAAAACAGAGGGGGCCAACAACCAGACATTGACAGATACTTTCAGTTGGGGCGGGAAGAAAAGAGAGAAAATTTAGTGAAATAAGAGAAGGAGAGGGGGAAGCGAACAAGAGTCAAAGCAGGGAGTTTTGCCCCTTCCCTCAAGGGATCTAAGGCAATAGGAAGGACATTAAAGTTTCTCTCCAAATGACCTGGCGGCCTTTTCTTTTCCTAGATTCAGGTAGGTAGCTGTGTTGGTCTGACGCAGTCGGAATAAATAAATAAAATGTCCAGCAGCACCTTAGAGACCAACTAAGTAAGTTCTGGGTATTACCTTTGCATGCACACGAAAGCTTATATTATGGGTCGGCAAACTAAGGCCTGCGGTCTGGATCAGGCCCAATTGCCTTCTGGATCCGGCCCACGGACAGTTTGGGAAAGGGCATGGGGATTCTCATTGTTCGGGTTGTGCCATTCCCCCCCCCGCGCGCCATCCCCCCCCTTACACACACCGCGGCGGTGCCTCTTCCGTTCTACTGGCTTCTCCCCGCCCTGCCTAGAGGAGGAAGGGGGCTGGGCTTTGTTGGATCAGTGTGAGTGCTCGAGAGGCCGCCATTTTAAGCAGCCCTTCTCCAGAGCCCTTCTTTCACGCACTGCTCATCGTCCCTCCACCACCACCAGCCCCTGCCGCTCACAACGCACAGGTAAGCTGTGTCCTTTATAAAAAACTGCATCTGTGGGATCTTTGTGGGGCCTGCCTGGCATGCTGTGTCCTTTTATTTAAAATGGGAGGAGGACTACTTGCTCCCCCCCATGCAATGTGCATAGGAATTCGCGTCCCCCCCAAAAAAACCCCAAATATAGTTCTGCCCTCCACAAGGTCTGAGGAACAGTGGACTGGCCCCCAGCTGAAAAAGTTTGCTGACCCCTGGCTTATACCCAAAACATACTTAGTTGCCCTCTAATGTGCTACTGGACAATTTATTTTATTTTCCTAACATTCATTGGGGTGGGGTAGAGAGAGAGAGAGATTGGAGGAAAGCCATGAAAGCAGCCGAGAAAGGGAAGGAGGAAAGGAGTGAGAAATGTTTCGGGTCTGGAAGCACGAGGAAACCCGGGATCTCAGGAATCAATGAAAGATCAGGCTGGGGAACGGGCGCAGGCAGTGCCAGATTTATGTATAAGCTAAACAAGCTCCAGCTTAGGGGCCCACTCTCTTGCCCCCCCCCAACAAAATTTAAAGAAAAAAACCTTGGATGTTCATTTCCAAAACAAGATAAAAAACAAATAAAATAAAACCTACACACAGCACAACAGTGTTTTGTGTTGTGTAGGCTCCTAGGATGTGAGTAATGGGTCCTGCCTGCTAGCCCGCTCCCTGCCACCACCACCGCTTCCTTCCCCTCTTTCCCAGGAACATTTAGATTCACAAAATGTTTAGGGGTATGGGTACTCCTGCGTGGCCCCAGAAAAAAAGCACTAAATATAAGGCTGGCTTTGTTTGATTGGGAGAACTGCTAGAATACATTTGGGCGTCATGAGGGAGGAGAGGGGGAGAACGTTCCCTTGGGCAAGGAGAAATCTTTGCGCTGACAGAACATTCTCCTAGCACTGCTAGGAACACAACCCAAAGTTCTCACCCCTAATTCAATATAATAGGGAATCTAAAAATGGCTATACAGTACTGTTGTTCAGGCTTCAGAGAGAAGTGGAAGAAATTTGCAGAAATATGAGCCTCTCTGGATTAAGCCTGCCAAATTTTAGGCAGATCCGTTCAGAGGTTTTTGTGCTGGACACCTTAATTAAAGTGGGTCAGACCTCACCTGGAGTACTGTGTCCATTTCTGGGCACCACAATTTAAGGAGGATATTGACAAGCTGGAATGTGTCAAGAGGAGAGTGTCATTTTCTAATAAAGCTTGGAAACCAAGCTTTATGAGGAGGAAGAGCTGGGTAGGAGGAGACTGGGGGGAAATATAATACAATAGCCATCTTCAACTATCTCAAGGGCTCCTCCCTTTTGCATTTGCTCAACGCCTTTGTTTCATCAAGTAGAAACATTACTGTAATCATTTAGACTAAAAAGAAGCAATATTTCATTTGTGAATTTTCCAGCTCTATAAATTAGTATATGAAAGACCACCATTAGGGCTTTTTTTTGGGGGGGGACTATACTAGTATGGAAGCAAAAGTGACCTTTTATAGATTTCAAGAAGGGATAATTCATTTCTCCTCTGTAATTTTCTCTCCACAGAGGAATTTTGGGACATTGATGTCATGGTGAAAATTGATGTTGTGGTGAATTTTTGTGTGGCAAAAGCACAGAATTGGTACTTCAGACTCTGAAGAGGCACTGGGAATAAAAGGAGTCAGGAAGATAACACAGGGAAGTAGAATACATATTCAGTACAGCTTGGCTCGGAAAAAATCCGAATAAAGCACACGATTAAGTAGTATTTTAAAAGGGTGTTTTCTCACCACGTTACGTAGCCCAAACTGTGCGTGAATCTGCAATCCAGTGGTCTGCTTTCAACATATCTCAAGAAACTGCAAAACTCAGTGTAACTAGAGCTGAGTAGCATTTACTGTGAGGTCTGTGGATCCTCCTGGGAGAAAGAAAAAATGGGTTCCTCTGAAACTGAAATGACAGAGCAAAGGCTCCCCATGAATCCAGATGCAGCAGAGAACAGGGAAAGTAATGGAAATACCAAACAAGCAAGAGTCAAGCAAGTCTCTCTGAAAGTGAGACGTGGTAAGTGAGTTCTGATGAGAGAGGTATGAGTTTGTCTCCACCTACTGTCAGAAAAGTTACGGATTTGCTGCTGGGATGAGAGCTGCAAGATGTAAGCCAGCTAATCAATTCTAGTTTATTCAGGCAATTAGAAGCAATTGGAAAAGGATGGGCCCGGGGTGGTGGGGGGCAGGGCCAGCGGGGCTGGGACCAGCCGCCCATGCAGCTCTGAGGAGTCTGCCCCCCTCTTCCCCCTCAGCCCCCCTACAGCTCAGGGCGGAGGCAGCAGGTGGACCTTTGTGGCAGCGGAGCGTGCATGCACCCGAAATGTGTGACTCTGGTGCGCTGCAGGCCCCTTCCCGCGGTGAGTGCTGACTGGGAGTTGTCCCCCTTCAGTCACGTGGTACCTGGTGTGTCCCACCCCCACCGCACCCCCATCGCTCTGCCCCTGCATAGACACTTGTGTGGAAATTGATTTGACAAGATTCAGCGGTTGGAGGGGAGAGATACCTTTACATCATGGAAAGCAATGCCTCTTTCAAACCATGCTGAGCTCCTCTAAACTATTGACCATACCCAGCTTTGAATCGTGAGGAAGGCTTCTCAGGCTTTTCTTAGTTCCTCTCTCAGATGGAACAATCCTTACTCTCACAGGCATGCATAAGAGGAAGGGGGTGAGGCTGCCCTTGAGGAGAGAGATTCCTGGCTGTTCTCCCAGTCGACCTTCCATGTACACCAAAAATGCAGAGCTTGTGGCTCGCCAGATTCCAACTTCCTCCCATCACTCCCTGATAGCCAATGTTCAGGAATGATGAGACCTGTAGACCAAAAACATCTGGAGGACCACATGGCCCCCATTCCTGCTGTACACAGACCTAGAGAGCCACAGATAAGCGAAGAGACCAGAAATATGCAACTACAGGTGCATGCTCTACAGAATTTACTAGCACAGTGGCATGGAAATGGTTTGTTATAGCTGTTATACGACTGGGTTGAGTGGTCTATGTTACAGTAGACATTACGCTGACATTTATATGTGAGTGGGTGATTTTTAAATGTTTTTTAAATAAATAAGTAAAATTCTTAGGAAATCAAGAAGCAAACGATACTGTGCAAATCTCCTGGCAGAGAACCTTCTTGACTGACTTCATAACTTTGTGTTATGCAACACTTTTCGGAATGTATCATTCAAAACATCTTTTAGGTTCCTCTTTCTTTCAGGAACCCAATCTGGCCAACCATGTGTTGACATTAACTGAAATATATATATACGCTGAAAGCAGACACCCAGAGCTGCATATTGCTGATGAACCACTTTGCTGCCTAGTCCTTACATTTGGACCTGGTTTTCTTTAACTGTCAGTTATGCCATCCTCCGTATAGAATTAATATAGCAACCTTAGTCCATCTGCTAATCCTAGCCTGTGTACTACAAACTGCTATTTTGATTTATTTGGTTGAGGCAAGCTTGAAAATTCACTATCCTGCATTGAATGAATAAAGCTTCTTCTACCACAGGGAAATGTTCTTTGGTTGAACAATTCATTTTAATGCATTTTGTTTTGCACATTAATGGATCTACCTGTGATGTGTTGGAACCAACCCTATGTTATACAGAAATGTGCAAGAGCTCAAACAGTATCCCCTTAATGGTTTGTTTTACAATCAAGATTAAAATGGTTTCAGGATACAGTGGAACCTCTACTGACATACGAAATCCCTTCCGGAGGTCCGTTCATGAGCAGACCCGGGTTGCTGGTAGAAGCGCCATTCTTCGTGTGGGCATTCGGCAGCAGCACCGTTCTGCGCATGTGCAGACGCACATTGTTCGCCAGTAGGGGCGGTGGTAAGTCAAGGTTCTACTGTACAGTGGTGCCTCGCAAGACGAAATTAATTCGTTCTGTGAATTTTTTCGTCTAGCGAATTTTTCGTCTTGCGAAGCACGAAATCCCATAGGGATGCATTGAAAATCAATTAATGCGTTCCTATGGTCAAAAAAGTCCAAACAAAGCCAAATTTGGTACAACAAGAGTTTATTAAGTGCTCCTTAAAGTCACACATACTGTAAAGAGCATTTCAAAATTCAAATCCATATTTTTTTTAAAAAAAACAGCAGAGTGGCCCAATGGTCACAGAAAATCATAAAAATGCAGAAAAAAACCACACAAGCTTCCAGATTCTTTCAAACCCCTCCCTAACACCAAGTCCTTGAATTCCAAACACCCCAACCACAAATCGAAAACCCCCCAAAAAAGTTTTAAAAGCTTAACTTACCAAATGGCTGCAAAAGAAGTTTTGGAAAAGCTTCAAAAATCACCAGTCTTTAAAAACTTCAAAAAAGGCTACTATGTACACTGCGTTCTATGAGTTGCTCCTCGAAGTCAAGTCGCAACTGTATTAGCGGTGTTAAGAAAAAGGAAACAAACTTGCAAGACGTTTTCGTCTTGCGAAGCAAGCCCATAGGGATATTTGTCTTGTGAAGCAGCTCAAAAAACGGAAAACCCTTTCGTCTAGCGAGTTTTCCGTCTTGCGAGGCATTCGTCTTGCGGGGCACCACTGTATTTGCTTGAGGTTGCTGTACTAGCTTGAGATGCATGAACAAAATATCCCATTCTGCTTCTAAGTAGGATAGAGATTCCCTTCTGGCAGACTGCTGCCAGTGGATTTAACAAGGCTGCCACTATTTGTCTCAGAAGCCCAAGTGACCTCAGCTAGAAGTTGGGCATTTAGCACCACCAGTTGAAGCTGTGAAAGGCTCTTCCAGCAGAGATACATCCGGCATCTTCACTTCTGACTTCTAAGCTTGACTTGAAGACCTTTTCTTATTCCAAAAAGGCTATACAGCTGTTTAAAATATTGTTGATCTCCCAGCTATATTAATGATAAAAACATAAAGCTACCCCTGACCATTAGTCCAGTTGTGGACAACTTGGGTTGCGGCGCTCATCTCGCTCTATAGGCCGAGGGAGCCAGCTTTTGTCCTCAGACAGCTTCCGGGTCACGTGGCCAGCATGACTAAGCCGCTTCTGGTGAACCAGAGCAAAGCACGGAAACGCCGTTTACCTTCCCGCCAGAGCAGTACCTATTTATGTACTTGCACTTGACGTGCTTTCGAACTGCTAGGTGGGCAGGAGCAGGGACTGAGCAACGGGAGCTCACCCCGTCACGGGGATTCGAACCGCTGACCTCCTGATTGGCAAGCCCTAGGCTCTCCGGTTTAGACCACAGCACCACCCACATACCTTTATATTAATGATATATTTATATATATTTACTATTTCTATTGGTGATATTTGTTTTATTGTATAACTATTATTCTGAAGCACTTTGATAGTTTAGGAGATGGTGGCAAGTAAATGCTTTTTAATAAAATAAATAACTAGTGACTCACCAGCCATGTGCAGAGGCCTACAAGTTGGCTGATTTTCTGGTGGGAGGCACCAAGCTTCATGATGCCACAGGTGAATTTGGTTCATCTCTTACCCTTCTAACATCCCATTGACCAAAATCGGGAAGTTTCTTTTTTGGTCTCCAGCTGACTTGCACCAGAGCACAGGACCAAAAAAATGAGACATTCTGGGATACAATCAGAAGCCAGAATTGGCTTCTGTAATTCCAGGATGTCCCACATAAATCAGGACTGTCGAGTGGTATGACATCTTGGTGTGATGCAACCTTGAACTCACACCTTCAATGTGGGTGGACTACCCAAGCCTGGGTAGACTTGGAGCCCCCCAGATACTTTGGAGTTTCCAGAAGGACTTGTCTGGCATCTTGCTGAAACCAAGGACACATTAACACTTTATTTCCCTCTGCAGGTTTGTGCAATAATGGAAAATGGAGACTCGTTTATAATATAAAAATTTTGAGCTTGGCGCTTAATGTCACTCTGATCATTTCCATCATCATCATCAGCAGAACTGCTTTATCAGGTAAGTGAAGAGCCATTTTGCTGTAACTTCTGCCAGGTTATCAACAGGCCACCTGCTCTCACAGATCTCCTCTCCTCAGCAGCTAGAATAGCTGTATTGGTGTTCCACTGAGGTAACCTGGAAGCAGTTGCAGATGGAGGCCCACATTCAGGCAAGGTAGACTTCATGTACTGTAATAACAGACCAATATGCACACACAATATACACACACAATACACACACAATTTCAAGTGATTTAAATTGTACGATACAATTCTAATCAAAAGCCTATCTCAGGGAGAGTCAACTAGGCCCTGGCTGTGTATTTCACGGATAGTCAATTGAGGTTGACTATCTATGGTTGAGCCACAAGAGAAGCTGCTCTATGTCCTGCAACCTCCTGAGTTTGTGGGCAGAGATGGGCACTGGGTTGTCTGCCCTCCCTCCTACCCTCATTTCCCCACCCTTATCCAGCCCCGCCTGGAGATGATGGGGGTTGACTGGAGACCTCCTGCACACAGTTTTGTGTGTGTGGTGTATTTGCAATTATGTTGTTATACTGTATTTTTATGCGATTGTCCTTATGATGCTTGAGATGTGTTCCCATTTTCTTTGTTGCAAGCTGCTTTGAGCAGGATTCCTTTTGTGGAAAGGCAGCACACAGATATAATGTTGATGAGTGGAGTACATTGCCTGACCTTTATTTTGGGTAGGACTATTTATAAGCTATGGATAGTGATCTGTCTCACTTTCTGATACCTTTCTAGGGACAAGCGCAGTATTGCCAACCGCCCTACCTTCTCCTTCCACTCCAACTGAATGCTGTCCGGAAGGCTGGATTGGCTACCAAAGGAAATGTTACTATTTTTCGGACAGTGACAGAAACTGGACTTATAGCCAGAATTACTGTGCCTCTTTCAATGCCTCTTTGGTTGTGATTGACTCCCAAGAGGAGATGGTGAGTGGAAAGATACAGAGCACAGTCTGATGCCTTAAATGGAGTTGATTCTCCACTTGGATGAGGGTTGGAAATGTATTCACACTTCCTTTCTTTATTAAGATCTTCTTGAGACGGTACAAAGGTCATTTTGACCACTGGATTGGTCTCCAAAGGATGAATGACCAGGAGCCTTGGAAATGGATCAATGGCACCATTTTCAATAAATCGTAAGATCTCCCCCCCCCCCCATTGTGTGTCAAGAAATAAATGTCGAAGTCCAGAAACTAGAAATTTGGCAGAACCAGCCATTTAAATGTCTGGGCTATGCAGAATGTTTTGCTTTTGAAAAACTCTCTCTCTCCCCCCCCCTCTCCCTCCACACACACACACACACACACACACACACACACACACACTTTTGAATTTATTCAGGAGGGAGGACTGAGACATAGCTACAGTGGTGGGGGCCTAGGGGCAGGGGGCCAGGATTTTGCCCTGGGTGAAGCCTTCATAGGGGTGCCATTGAGTCACCCAGCCTGAGTGTGTGTCAATATTTCCACTCCTCTTCTGAAGTCAGGGGTTTTTATACCATTTGCTGAGGCCCTGAGCCAAGATCACATAGTCTAAAATGTAAATGTATTAAATTAATATAAACTGCCTTCTGCAGTTTTCTTCAGGTGAAAATTAGCTTCCAGGGCTTCCTGCACATACATTGGGGGGGGGTCTCTTTTCAGGTACATACCTTGGGGGGTCTCTTTTCAGTTGCATGGTCTTATACTTGTTCTTAGGGATACCATTTCTACATTCTGTTGCTTTTTAGGTTTGAAATCCGGGGAGGAGGAACTGGTGCTTACTTGAACCATCAGGGTGTTGCTAGCGGCACCAGTGGAAGCGAAGAACGCTGGATCTGCAGCAAACCAGTTGGTAAATGAGAAACAGCACAGGATTCTAAGTCATGCAGATCACACGCAGACAGTCTGGAAATCAGCATGTTTTTACAGGAGTAGAATGTGTGCTTTTATTTAAAATGCATCTCTGGGTTATTTGTGGGGCAAAGGAATTCGTTCATCCCCCCCCCCCGCCTCCAAAATAAAGTCCAGGCCCCCACAAGGTCTGAGGGACAGTGCACTGGACCCCTGCTGAAAAAGTTTGCTGACCCCTGTAATATCTCCCGCTTGGACTACTGCAATGCGCTCTATGTGGGGCTACCTTTGAAGGTGACCCAGAAACTACAATTAATCCATAATGCAGCAACTAGACTGGTGACTGGGAGTGGCCACTGACACCATATAACACTAGTCCTGAAAGACCTACATTGGCTCCCAGTGTGTTTCCGAGCACAATTCAAAGTGTTGGTGCTGACCTTTAAAGCCCTAAACAGCCTCGGCCCAGTATTCCTGAAGGAGTATCTCTGCCCCCATCGTTTAGGGGGTGGAGGTCCAGCTCCAAGGGCCTTCTGGCAGCTCCCTCCCTGCGCAAAGTGAGGTTACAGGGAACCAGGCAGAAGGCCTTCTTCAGTAGTGGTGCCTGCCCTCCCATCAGATGTCAAGGAAATAAATAACTATCTGACTTCTAGAAGACATCGGAAGGCAGTGGCTCCCCATTTGTAGAATGCTTTCGCTGGGAGGTTCAGCTGGTGCCTTAAAGGGAAATCTTCAATTAACAATATCACCCACAATGCTATCCTATGGGGAAACTTCAGATAATCACTAAAAATCAGTCGTTTCACTTATCTTCCTCATTTCAATGGTTCTTTACTCTTCTCAGGGAGGGGGAGGGGACAGGAACCACGATGCGGCCAGTCCGCAGTCTGCCATTATCCTTCAGATGTGGTGCAAATGACTTCTGACAAGCACAAAGAGTTCGAACAAGACTGAGTGGATGGGGGGAGGGGGGCTTGTTTAATTTCACTGCACAAGGGTTGTTGTTGTTGTTGTTGTTGTTGTTGTTGTTGTTGTTATTATTATTATTATTATTATTATTATTAATGTGCCACCACATATACCAGATACACCTCCCAGGTGTCAGACCAGATATAACCAGTCAAGATAAGGAGGGCAGGTAGGGTGAGGAAGGTGTTCTCAGAATCACAAAACCCCGCGTGAAAAACCCATCTCCAGAATGGAATGCAACCTGGCCTGAACAAATAAAGGTGCTAAGTCGTATTTTCACGACAAAGGAATATGTATGAGTGAGAAGGGCATGTCTGGATCTCAGATTTCTGTCTGACTTCACTCCTGTGGTACGTTGGTGGGGAAAAAACCCCAGAAGCTTTCCTTTTGTCAATTATAGGAACAGAACTACCAAATCTGTATAGAAATTTATTCATGTATGCGACTACAGCGGCAAGAATGTTACTTGCCCCAAAATGGAAAGAATAAGAAATGCCAGCAAAAGAAGAATGGATACAAAAACTTACGGAATATGCAGAAATGGCAAAACTTACTGGAAGAATAAGGAATCAAGATAACAAACTTTTTTTAAAAAAATAAAAGAATGGAAATGGTCCATTGAATATTTACAACCAAACTGTAAACAGATAAGAACATTGGTAGGATTCTTGTAATAACCTGCATTTTTATAAGAGTATATGGTATATTAAAAGTAGATGAATATATGTGTAAATTAAGTTAATTTGGATATGAAGAAAATATATATAAAAAAATTAAGGAACTGCTGAAGGAAGGGGAAGGAAGTCAAGTTTTGAAATGTTCAAATGATTGTAAAATTATTGACAGGTATAAAATTGAAACTCATTAATAAAATAAAAGATAAAGATAAACATTAAGAAAAAAGACATCACTCCTATGGTGTGTGCGATGTTTTGATGACACTGTGTGAAATGTGTTATGGGAAAATTTGAGAACTTTAAAAAACCCATGTAACTTTTGTTCAGGGCTCTTTCTTTTTTGCTTGCCTTAAAGGTTGGAACCTTTGTTGCAACAAATAAAGATCAAGCCTATTGGCTGCTGGTTTTCTTTTTCATTGCTTGGCTGTAGTCTCTTATTTTCTCTGACCGATACAGAATTTGCAGGGCTAGACTCTTGCGAAGTTGGGAAATGGTTTAAGTAGTGTACCCCAATATTTGGGATGTGAAGGGGGAAATATAAACTGTAGAGGAATTCCTGAGTTAGCCTTTGGGAAACGACCTGTTCAAGCTAGGGCCATTAAGGATGAACAGAGGGCCAGGAGGAACCAGACAAGGATGGTCCACTTCCACCTTTGCTCTTTAATATGTGTTTAGAAACTCCTGGCATTAGATAGCATTGTGAGATTCATGAAGGAGTTTGAATATGCTTATTTCAAAGCCTCATTCTAGTATTCCTAATTGACGAAAGCAATGGATGATTTGGGTAAATATCAGGATACTCAATTAATTAATTGGTCCAAATTGGAATGGGATGCCAATTAGGGTGAATTCTAATTACTCATCATTTAAACAATACCAATTCCGGATTTGTACCAAATCGTATTCAATAACCTAGGTATCGTTAATACCAGAAGATATAACGTCAGTTGTAACAGTAAACATAAATGAAATAATAAGAGCAGTCTTCACTAGATATTGCCAGGCCGGGAACGCATTAAACCTTACTCTTGGGGGAAAGGTGCATGCTCTCAAAATGAACATTACTCCCAGATTTCTTTATGTCCTGAGAAGACTTCCAGCTTTTATACCTGGGTCATATTTTCAAAAGATAAAGTCCCTGTTTAGGAAATGTCTTTGGAGTTCAAAAGCACTGAGGATATCTATGCAGAAAATACAATAACAAATGAAAGAAGGTGGATTTGGAAATATTGGAGACCTCCTGATGATCTTAACTTCCTGACATGGGCAACCTTAGAATATACTTCTATAGCACTTTTGGTTGGTTGGACAGCATTAGAATCAAAAATATTTCAGAAATATTTGAAATTTCAGATGACTCTTGAAATAATTCAGTTAGAAAACTGGATTGTTGTAGCTAATAAAAGCAATTTTGATCCATTTTCCCATGCAAAACTTACTCTGTGGGGATATCCTACTCTAAAAATTTGAATAGAAGATGGTAAGATGGAAAAACTGGATGGAAGCAGGTGTATTGACCTTGATAGATGAAGAATATGAACGTTACACGTATGATGTTCTAAGAGGAAAAAATATCACCTGTCACATGAGGCCCAATGGCAATATCTGCATCTTTCCATACAACATCTTTTAACAACCTCATCTCAAATGTTCAGTGTAAAGCGTGCCTCTTCAGCATTCACCATAAGCTATAGAATGGTTCCAGGATGGGGAAGGAGTTCCACAAAGTAGGGCTGCATAGTGGCCTAGCTTGCACGATGGTCTCATGACCATTCAAACCATCTCCATAATGAATCATTCTATCCTGCATCTGCTTCACATCATTTTTAAGCTCTGCCAAGTCCTTTTGGATCGGCTTCAGAACTTGTACTTGAGCCAGTAAATTTCAGTAAACTAGTATTAGTGTCCTCCACCACCATTTTCTGCGGCCCAACCGATTAGTGATGCTGTTGGACTTGAAGAAGCAGCCTCTCATTTTGCTCTAGTCGTCATGGCTACATCTCATTAAAAGAAATAATATATCATGGGAGGTTTATATACCCAGTAATCAATGACTTTGTCCAAGCAGTCCGATAATTCAGTAGTTTGAAAGCTTGTTAGTCTGGAGAGGGACGAGAAATTTGCTTTCAACAGGTTTTGGGGAACTGACTGCTTTGATGAAGGGACGGTGCTGTTCTGTTTGTACTGTAATTATTGGCCAGGTTTTGTGCTGTCAATTTCTACAGTTGATCCTGCAACTTTCACTTCAAACCAATCTTTCAGTAGCCAAAATATATCTTACTTCAAATTCCCTTGTTATCTCTGTATTTCACCTAGAGTATTTTGCTGAAAACAGAATCTTCTTGGTATCAGTATCTTTTAAACTTTGTGTTCCTGGCAAATACAAAATTTCACATAATTACCGTTATTTTTCGCCCTATAGGACGCACCGTCCCATAAGGCCGCACCT